ACGAAAATAAAATTAAAAAGTAATTATAATTTTGTGGCCACCATCATTGATGCCCCCTAGACAAGCGAAAAAAAACTGTAGTAATTTTGCTACAAACAAAGAACAAACAAAAAATTGTTATTTTATAGATTTTAAAGAAAAGTATGTTTTGTATCTTGTTTTCTTAACTTTTTTTAAAAATTAAAATTTTATTTTTGAAGTGTTACCAAAGTCCACTGAGGTGCTTTATTCATGCTAATTCATTTTGTTAATGATAAAGTTTTACAATCATTTTTCTATACTAATTGCCTTATATAGTATGTACCTTATTAAAATAAGTATGTAGCTATATTTTTGGGCTTATAAAAAAGTATTTTTTTTGTTGATAACAAATTATTTTTATAATAAACAACAATAAAATGTAAAATAACACAACAAAAATTTACCTTTTTTTGCACAAACTTTTTTTTTTGACAGAGTTGTTAAATTTTCGGTTTTGGTTTAGAGTTTGTTGTACGGGTATTGTGAAGTTTTTTGTTGGTTTAGTTAAACTAGGTTTAAATTAGGCCGAGTTTAAGATTAGTTTTATAGCAAAGTATTTTTTATTGAACTTTAGCATGTAGCAGGGATGGAAATTTTAGTAATTTTATACTTTTAAACTAAATTTTTGACAATGAATAAAGTACTTTAGTAGATTATTTCAAATATTAATCAATGGGCTAGTAAATAAACTAGTCAATAGATTAGTCCAAAGACTAGTTCATAGACTAGTCAATAGGCTATTCAATAGACTAGTCAATAGGCTATTCAATAGACTAGTCGATAAACTATTTAATAGATTAGACCTTAGACTGGTTAATAGATTCGTCCATAGACTAGTCACATGTCTGTGAACTAGTTTATTGACTAGTCCATAGACTGATTAATAGACAGTAGTCCATAGACTTTTGGCTACTTTGTGAATTAGTCTATTGACTAGTTAATAGACTGGTCTATTGTTTAGTCCACTACTTCATAGACTACTCAATAGAATACTTCATAGATTACTCCATAGACTAGTTTCTTGACCAGTCTGTGAACTAGTTTATCGACTAGTCCGTATAATGATTAATAGATTAGTCCATAGAGTACAAGTCTTTTGACCGGTCTGTGAACTAGTATATTCACTAGTCATTTGGCCAACTTGTGAATTAGTTTATTGTCTAGTACATAGACTAGTCCTTAGACTAGTCTAATCTAATCTATAGACTAGTCTAAGGACTAGTCTAATCTATAGACTAGTCCTTAGACTAGTCTATAGATTAATATATTCACTAGATACTAATCTATGGACTAGTCAGTAGACTAATCTATAGACGAGTCATATGACTAGTCTATTGTCTAGTATTGGACTCGTCTTGGACTAGTCTATGAACTAATCAAGGATTCAGTTTATCGACTAGTTCATTACAGAAAACCACACTCTTTTGTATAAGAAGGAGTTATATGCACAATTTCTAGAAAAAAAGTGTTATATATACATTTTTTGTAGATAAAAACTGTTATACACAAAATGTTCTCTAGAGAAAACTGTTATAAAAAATTTGTATGAAAACACATAATTTTCTGTAGAAAAATTTTATACCCACAATTTTTTGAAAAAAAAAACTGTTATACGCGTCAATTTTCTATATAACAAACTGTTATACGTATAATTATTTGTATAAAAAACTGTTAAAACCGAACAGGACGGACGACGCTATAGATAGGGACATTCCCGACTTTACGGACAGAGAGGAGGATGGAAAGTTGGATAGTACATAGTACGGAGAGGGGGTGACCTTTATAATGCCCATGGTTTAGTTCTCTCATACCTGAATGAATGGATGACAAACTCTGACGAAGATCTTGCTCATAATAAGATGGCAGAGAAGGCTTCTCCTACTGACAAGCAATGATAAACCAAGGATTACACTGTAGGGAAGATTGCTCACAACTTGTTCTACAAGTAGTCGAGGAGATGATGCTAAGGGTTCATCCACGAAATATTGATAACACTGGCCGAAGGAATGAGGATAAGGCGATGAACGAGAAGTTGAAGACTCTTGTCTTTCTAATAAAGTTAGCTAAGTCACGTTCTAGTCATTGGATATGTAACTTCTCAGGCGCCCTCTGTCGACTTCAAAGTTTTATTGCCTTTTTTGAAAAATTCTGAATTCTTAGACTCTCTATCTCAGAGATAAAGGATTACGAACCAAAAATTATTTTGATTTCAATTAAAAATTTTACAATAAGTAATTAATTATCATTATTCTTTCCCTCAAATAGGGTGTCGAATATGTTTTCGGCATTATTGGCATACCGGTTGTTGAATTATCTATGGCATTCCAAGCGGCCGGTCTAAAATACATTGGTATGCGTAATGAACAAGTAAGTAATTGTCTATCGTTTATCTATTACAATAAAAATCCTTGCATTATTTTCCAATTAGTTGCGTTTGCAATTGATTTAACAATTACTCTTGTTTACTACACTTTTTCTACTATAAATATTTTTTAATAGGCTGCTTGTTATGCTGCTCAAGCAATTGGCTATTTAACGGGTAAACCTGGGGTGTGTTTGGTGGTCTCGGGTCCTGGTTTATTACATGTTACAGGTATGTTAGTGTGATTGGTTGCAATTGTTGTACTTTTAATACGTTATTTCGATGACATTGATTTGTTAAAAATATTAATTATACTGTCATCAGGTGGTATGGCTAATGCTCAAGTCAACTGTTGGCCCTTAATTGTTATTGGCGGTTCGACTAGCCAGGATCATGAGGGCATTGGTGGTTTCCAAGAATGCAATCAAGTGGAATTGTCTCGTCCCTACTGCAAGTATGCTGCTCGTCCCCCTACTGTGGCTCTTATACCTTTACATGTGGAGAAGGCTGTACGTTATACAACCTTTGGACGCCCTGGTGTTGCCTATTTAGATTTCCCCGGCAATCTGTTGCAATCTAGAGCACCCGAAGAGAAAATTTACAAGACTTTGGCTCATCCTTCGCCTCCCTTGGCCTATCCCTCACATGATGATGTTATGAGAGCTGCCAATCTATTGCGTTCAGCTAGACGTCCTTTGGTGATCATTGGCAAGGGTGCCGCCTATTCGCATGCTGAAAATATTCTAAGACATTTTATAGAAAATACCAATTTGCCTTTCTTGCCAACACCCATGGGTAAGGGTGTGGTATCTGATACTGCCGATCAGTGTGTTTCATCGGCTCGTACTTTGGCTTTGCAAAAGGCTGATGTGGTCTTGTTATTGGGTGCTCGTCTTAATTGGATTTTGCATTTTGGCAAGCCACCACGTTATGATCAAGATGTCAAGTTTATACAAGTAAGTTTTAAAAACTATCTTCTTAACTTTGAAAAAAGTAATAACATAAACTCTTTCCTATAGGTTGATATTTGCCCAGAAGAATTGCACAATTCCGTTACCGCTTCCGTGGCTATACATTCGGATATTAAACCATTTGCCGAACATTTGTTCGAACAAATGAATGCCATTAATTATCGTTTCTCTAACGATCAGGATTGGTGGAAAACTTTGTCTACCAAATGTAGACAAAATCGTGATTCCGTCCATCAAATGGCCATGAATACAGCTACGCCTCTTAACTATTATGCAGTGTTCCATCATTTACGCGAACAGATACCCAATGATGCCATCATTGTTAGTGAGGGTGCCAATACCATGGATATTGGTCGTTCTATGCTTTTGAATACTTTGCCACGTCATCGTTTGGATGCTGGCACTTTTGGTACCATGGGTGTTGGTCCTGGTTTTGCTATAGCAGCTGCTCTTTTCTGTCGTGATCGTTTCCCGGGCAAGCGTGTGGTTTGTGTTGAAGGTGATAGTGCTTTTGGTTTCTCTGGTATGGAAATTGAGACTATGGTTCGTTATAATTTACCCATTACTATTGTTATTGTCAATAACAATGGCATTTATGGTGGTTTCGATAAGGATACTTTTGATTCTATACGCAGTGCTGGCGATTTGACTCAAGTGTTAGTATCTATTGATTCTAAAAGATAAAATAGCTCAGATGTTTGAGATTGTGATCTAATATTAATAATCCTTTTTCTCTTTCCAGAACTCCACCCTCCGCTTTGGGTGTCCAGGTTCACTACGAAGAGATGATGAAAATGTTTGGTATGAAAGGTTTCTTCTGTAACACTATTCCCGAATTGCAAACTGCCGTCAAAGAAGCACAAAAATTAAAAGATAAACCAACCATTATCAATGTGGCTATAAGCCCTTCATCCGATAGAAAACCACAATCATTTAATTGGTTAACTGAATCCAAATTGTAAAAGTAATAATCAAAAAGAAAATTAACAAATTCTAAATGCAGCAAAAAGTATGAATTATTTATAACGCAAGTGTGATGTCGTCATCTGTATTGTGATTGTGGATCTATAAAAGAAATATGTCTTAATACTTTAAAATAATGAAGCATAAGAACGAAAATCATTCCTTTTTTTATATAAATGTAGTTAATTATTACTTTTTTTTTTTGTTTTTAAAGTTTCACAATAATAAAGTGTTTTTAAGGATTTTTTGTATAAAAACGAAAGAATTTATTAAAATAAACTGAAAGAGATTAAAAGTACAAAAGTGTTTAAACGAAATCTATCCCTTTATTCACCATCCTTTTTAAGTGTCTCCTCTAAACCCAAGTGCTCGAGAAAACATTGGAAATTTATCAATCTACCTTTATGCAGGAAAGGAATTTTAGGACACAATTCGAAAGCTATATTCACCGGTGTTATATCAGCCGTCTTGCCACAACCCAAATCCAAAAAATTGACAAAATCACATACTTCTATTTCACCACAATCGTTTTGATTTAAAACCATCATTATATCATCAATTAGTTCCTGTGTAAAAGGTAAGCGACAGCCTTTTAATACTGATCTTAATTTAGTTTCCGACAAAAATGGTTTGTTTAATGGATTAATATGGAATAAATGCTCTTTAAGTTCATCCATAGCATTCCATAAACTACGTTTTAATTCGAGATGTACAGCAGCTCGTATAGTCTCTTTATTACAGGTGCTGGGAGGTGCTTGTTCTGCGGAGAAGTGACGACATAAAGTAATAATTTCATGATTGGTAATATTATCTCCTAGAGCACTGGCCAGGGCTTGTTTTAAAGTTTCATAACCCACGAAACGTGTTTCGTTATGATCTCCTCCGCCGTCTGACAGGCATTTGCAAACGAAATCTTTGTAATTTTTGCGTAAAGCTTCTCGAACTTTATTCATGATAGTCTGGACATCAGCTAGTGGGAACTAGACAAATAAAGGGATTAATAATAAGAATTGAAGTTCAGAATCTGAGCTACTGTCTGTCTAGGAAACAGTTCAGAATTCTGTTCTACTTTCCCTCTAGAAAATAGTTCAAAATCTGAGCTATATTCCCTATAGAAATTAGTTCAGAATCTGAGCTATTTTCCCCGCAGAACATATTTTCGAACCATTTCCTCTATAGGAAATGGTTCAGAATCTTAGCTATTTCCCCTATAGAAAATAGTTCAGAATCTGAGCAATTTTCCCTATAGAAACTTGTTCAGAATCTGAAATATTTTCCCCGCAGAAAGTAGTTCGGAATCTCAGCTATTTTCCTTATAGGAAATAGTTTAGAATCTGAGCTATTTTCCCTATAGAAAATAGTTCAGAATATGAGGTATTTTCCCTATAGGAAATAGTTCAGAATCTCAGCTATTTTCCCTATAGAAAATAGTTCGGAATCTTAGCTATTTTCCGTCTGGAACATAGTTCACATTCTGATCTATTTTCCGTCTAGAACATATTTTAGATTCTGATCTATTGTCCGCCTAGAACATAGTCCAGATTCTGATCTATTTTCCGTCTAGAACATAATTCACATTCTGATCTATTTTCCTTCTAGAAAATAGTTCAGAATCTGCGCTATTTTCCCTATAGAAAAAAGATCAGGACCCAAATTACGGCATACGTTATCGATCGAAATCTCAATAGAGTCTAAATCTAGCTTTCGATCGATATCGTATGCCATAATTTGGGCCCAGATTTTGAGCTATTTGCCCTATAGAAAATAGTTCAGAATCTGAGCTATTTTCTGTCTAGAAATAAGTTCAGATTTTGACCAATTTTTTTAAATTAGTTCAGATTCTGAGTTATTTTCCGTTTAGAAATTCTTATCAAACTCTCACCTGATTTGGATGATGTTCCATATAAATCAATGTATACTCATCGGCCGATACTATATGGAATATATGATCCTTTAAACTGACAGTACCACCGATATAGAAATTATACGGTTGATAATATTGTGGTCTTCTCGAAGTGAATTTCTGTTGACCCGGTAACGGTATGCGGGTACGTTTCAAAAATTCACCACCCAAAAATCCAGAATTTCTAGCAGCAATTTCAAATATTTGTATTGTATCATCCGATAAAAAATAGGAAATAATAAATACTCGTTCACAATTCTCTTTAATAGTCGAGAGCATTTTGGCGCCAAAACGCAAAACATAACGATCCAATTGTATAAATTTCTTAAAATCAGCCTGAGGTGGTTTAGGTTCTACCGAAATGCAATTACCCTCAGAATCTTCATAGGAACCCCAACCATTGTAAGGTGGTAAAATGCGTTCACGTGGCTTAGAAGGTACGTAATCGTCGGAGCGTGAAGGCACCGGAGCGGGGGTGAAATCCTCGATACCATACTAATGAACAGGAAAAAGTAGATTTGAAAAATGTTATATATTAGATGGGGATTTAACTTACCTTTTTACGATAATATGATCTGGTAAAGTCATCACAATCGGTTAAAACCACTGCTCGGCCGTAAACATTTAACACTGTACCAATCTGCAGATCTTTATCGGTGTAATATATAGTGTCTTTGCGACCCACATCTAGGGGATCGGTTACATAGCGTACATTACGCATATTGGTGCCCAAAACATTTAATAAACTTTGTGGGGTCTGTTGACCCGGTAAAGGTAGACCACTAAATTCCTTTATGAAACAAAAGCTACAAAATTAAAAATCCCTTTTATAATATATGTATGCTTTTTTTAATACCCTGGGCAATTTGGTCCTTTTCAAAAACGTTGACGGTCCCTCTCGCCCTGAATTGCGTGGAAAATGTTCTTTGATATCTATAGTATCGTCCGATAGATAGTAACATACTTCTAGTTTCCTTACGTCGCCAAATTCCGAACGATCATCCCAGTAGCCTTGAAATTTTAAAACCATTCTATCGTATTCTAAAAATTGGGCAAATGAATGTTTCTTCTGAACTGGATTGCTGATTTTAATGCCAGATCTTTTACGCATTTCGGTGGTGGGATCCCTAATAACAAATGTTGAAGAATCAATAAAACTTATGGTTTTGATTTTGACTCATTTTCCGTATGGAAAATGGATCAGAATGTTACTAAAATGATCAGAATCTGACTAAATTTCCATATAGAAAATGTATCAGATTCTTTTCCTTTAAGAAAATGGATCCGATTCTTATAGAAAAAATTGGATCATGGAACTTACACCGGTTCATCGACTGGATCCGGTACAGGTATACCAGATTTATTCAAGAAATGTCTTGTAAATTTATCACACGATGTTATATGATATACTCTATCAAAAATCTCTATAGTTATATCAATATTTAAGTCTAAAATCGATATAAAATCAGTTTGACAGGGAGGTGGTTTTGGTATACGTTGACGATGTACCAAGCAACCTTGTGGTATACCGGAATTTTTAACTTTTGGTTCAATAATCTGTATAGTACCATCTTCTAAATAATACATAATCTTAACTTTTCTCACTTGATACGGACAGTGATAGACTTCCTGTAAAGTTTCCTTAAAATAGGCATTAAAGCAGAGAACTTGTTTATCATAGGCAATCCAGGGTGGTAATTTTGGTCCCACTTTTGGCGGATATATAGAAGGTATTTGTACTGGTGGACAATTGGGATCGACAATCATACCAGTGGCATCTACTAGTCCCGGTGGTTTACGATCCGATAGCATACTAACACCTTTGTGGTGCATAAGATGTTGATGTTTAGGAAAATGGGTTTTAGTTATCTGGGGAGTTAAAAAGATTTATCAAATTTGTATACAAATTACTCAAATATAACTTACATCTCGGAATACCGTGCCCGGCAAAAAAGGCATTCCCGGTATACGCAACATTTTTTATAGTGAAAAATTTAATACTTTATTAAAAATAGTTGTTTAATTTATTGTAAGTTTTACAAAATATAGTTTTCCGTTATATTTTCGTTTGAAATGTGGAATATAGAAAAGAAAAATTGATAAAATTTCAAATTTCTATAGTATTGCCAAGGTTTTGCTTTGTTTTATGGTTGCTAAGGCTCCATATTGTTATTTTGGGGACATTTAACTTTTTCTGGAAATGCTAGTCAAATGTTCTGCTAATTGTTTCCAAGGTAATAGTTACAACTGACGAAGTAAGCTTGACAATGGTTAAATGAAAATGTATAGATCTTGTTGCGACTTTCTATAGAAAGACGATTATAGACCTGACTACACTATAGACCAGACCATAGTCTAGACCATAGTTTAGACAATAGAACAGACTATGGATCACACTATAACCTACATTATAGTCTAGACTATAGACCAGACTATTAACCAGACTATAGTCTAGACAGTAAATCAGACTATAGCCTAAACTATAGACTATAGCCTTAATTATAGACTATAGACCAGACTATTATCTAGACTATAGACCAGATTTTAGTCTATACTATAGACTTGCCTCTAGACAAGACTATTGTGTAGACTATAGACCAGACTGTAAATCAGACTATAGTCTGGACTACAGACCATATTATACACCCGACTATTGTCTAGACTATAGTTCAGATTACAGTCCAGACTATAAACCAGACTATAGACTATAGACTAGACTATAGACTAGACTATAGGACTAGACTATAGACTAGACTATAGACTAGACTATAGACTAGACTATAGACTAGACTATAGACTAGACTATAAGACTAGACTATAGACTAGACTATAGACTAGACTATAGACTAGACTATAGACTAGACTATAGACTAGACTATAGACTAGACTATAGACTAGACTATAGACTAGACTATAGACTAGACTATAGAACAGACTATAGACTAGACTATAGACTAGACTATAGACTAGACTATAGACTAGACTATAGACTAGACTATAGACTAGACTATAGACTAGACTATAGACTAGACTATAGACTAGATATAGACTAGAGACTATAGACTAGACTATAGACTAGACTAGTAGACTAGACTATAGACTAGACTATAGACTAGACTATAGACTAGACCTATAGACTAGACTATAGACTAGACTATAGACTAGGACTATAACTAGACTATAGACTAGACTATAGACTAGACTATAGACTAGACTATAGACTAGACTATAGACTAGACTATAGACTAGACCTATAGACTAGACTATAGACTAGACTATAGACTAGACTATAGACTAGACTATAGACTAGACTATAGACTAGACTATAGACTAGACTATAGACTAGACTATAGACTAGACTATAGACTAGACTATAGACTAGACTATAGACTAGACTATAGACTAGACTATAACTAGACTATAGACTAGACTATAGACTAGACTATAGACTAGACTATAGACTAGACTATAGACTAGACTATAGACTAGACTATAGACTAGACTATAGACTAGACTATAGACTAGAACTATAGACTAGACTATAGACTAGACTATAGACTAGACTAAGACTAGACTATAGACTAGACTATAGACTAGACTATAGACTAGACTATAGACTAGACTATAGACTAGACTATAGACTAGACTATAGACTAGACTATAGACTAACTATAGACTAGACTATAGACTAGACTATAGACTAGACTATAGACTAGACTAGAGACTAGACTATAGACTAGACTATAGACTAGACTATAGACTAGACTATAGACTAGACTTAGACTAGACTATAGACTAGACTATAGACTAGACTAGTAGACTAGACTATAGACTAGACTATAGACTAGACTATAGACTAGACTATAGACTAGACTATAGACTAGACTATAGACTAGACTATAGACTAGACTATAGACTAGACTATAGACTAGACTATAGACTAGACTATAGACTAGACTATAGACTAGACTATAGACTAGACTATAGACTAGACTATAGACTAGACTATAGACTAGACTATAGACTAGACTATAGACTAGACTTAGACTAGACTATAGACTAGACTATAGACTAGACTATAGACTAGACTATAGACTAGACTATAGACTAGACTATAGACTAGACTATAGACTAGACTATAGACTAGACTATAGACTAGACTATAGACTAGGCTATAGACTAGGCTATAGACTAGACTAGACTATAGACTAGACTATAGACTAGACTATAGACTAGACTATAGACTAGACTATAGACTAGACTATAGACTAGACTATAGACTAGACTATAGACTAGACTATAGACTAGACTATAGACTAGACTATAGACTAGACTATAGACTAGACTATAGACTAGACTAGATAAGACTAGACTATAGACGTAGACTATAGACTAGACTAGACTAGAATAAGACTAGACTATAGGACTAGACTATAGACTAGACTATAGACTAGACTATAGACTAGACTATAGACTAGACTATAGACTAGACGTATAGACTAGGACATAGAACTATAGACTAGATCTAGCGACTAGACTAGACTAGATATAGACTAGACTATAGACAGACTACTCGACTAGACTATAGACCTAGACTATAGACTAGACTATAGACTAGGACTATAGACTAGACTATAGACTAGACTATGACTAGACTATAGCCTAGACTATAGACTAGACTATAGGACTAGACTATAGACTAGACTATGACTAGGACGATAGACTTAGACTGACTAGACTAGACTATAGACTAGACTCTAGACTAGACTATAGACTAGACTATAGACTAGACTATAGACTAGACTATAGACTAGACTATAGACTAGACTATAGACTAGACTATAGACTAGACTCATAGACTAGACCTATAGACTAGACTATAGACTAGACTATAGACTAGACTATAGACTAGACTATAGACTAGACTATAGACTAGATCTATATGACTAGACTATCGACTAGACTATAGACTAGACTATAGACTAGACTATAGACTAGACTATAGACTAAGACTATAGACTAGACTATAGACTAGACTATAGACTAGACTAGACTAACTATAGACTAGACTATAGACTAGACTATAGACTAGACTATAGACTAGACTATAGACTAGACTATAGACTAGGACTATAGACTAGACTATAGACTAGACTATAGACTAGACTATAGACTAGACTATAGACTAGACTATAGACTAGACTATAGACTAGACTATAGACTAGACTATAGACTAGACTATAGACTAGACTATAGACTAGACTATATACTAGACTATAGACTAGACTATAGACTAGACTATAGACTAGACTATAGACTAGACTATAGACTAGACTATAGACTAGACTATAGACTAGACTATAGACTAGACTATAGACTAACTATAGACTAGACTATAGACTAGACTAGACTAGACTAGACTAGACTAGACTAGACTAGACTATAGACTAGACTATAGACTAGACTATAGACTAGACTATAGACTAGACTATAGACTAGACTATAGACTAGACTAGATAGACTAGACTAGACTATAGACTAGACTATAGACTAGACTAGACTATAGACTAGACTATAGACTAGACTAGACTATAGACTAGACTAGACCTATAGACTAGACTAGACTATAGACTAGACTATAGACTAGACTATAGACTAGACTATAGACTAGACTATAGACTAGACTATAGACTAGACTATAGACTAGACTATAGACTAGACTATAGACTAGACTATAGACTAGACTATAGACTAGACTATAGACTAGACTATAGACTAGACTATAGACTAGACTATAGACTAGACTATAGACTAGACTATAGACTAGACTATAGACTAGACTATAGACTAGACTATACAGACTTAGACTAGACTATAGACTAGACTATAGACTAGACTATAGACTAGACTATAGACTAGACTATAGACTAGACTATAGACTTGACTATAGACTAGACTATAGACTGACTATAGACTAGACTATAGACTTGACTATAGACTAGACTATAGACTAGACTATAGACTAGACTATAGACTAGACTATAGACTAGACTATAGACTAGACTATAGACTAGACTATAACTAGACTAGACTAGACTAGACTATAGACAGACTATAGACTAGACTATAGACTAGACTATAGACTAGACTATAGACTAGACTATAGACTAGACTATCGACTATAGACTAGACTATAGACTGAGACTATAGACTAGACTATAGACTAGACTATAGACTAGACTATAGACTAGACTATAGACTAGACTATAGACTAGACTATAGACTAGACTATAGACTAGGACTATAGACTAGACTATAGACTAGACTATAGACTAGACTATAGACTAGACTATAGACTAGACTATAGACTAGACTATAGACTAGACTATAGACTAGACTATAGACTAGACTATAGACTAGACTATAGACTAGACTATAACTAGACTATAGACTAGACTATAGACTAGACTATAAACTAGACTATAGACTAGACTATAGACTAGATATAGACTGGACTATAGACTAGACTATAGACTAGACTATAGACTAGACTATAGACTAGACTATAGACTAGACTATAGACTAGGACTATAGACTAGACTATAGACTAGACTATAGACTAGACAGACTATAGACTAGACTATAGACTAGACTATAGACTAGACTATAGACTAGACTATAGACTAGACTATAGACTAGACTAGACTATAGACTAGACTATAGACTAGACTATAGACTAGACTTAACATAACTCTTCAAAAGTAAATTCCTTTAATTTACTCAATTAAACCACCAACTTTTGAGTTCAATTTTTATAAAATTTTTCTCATTTTTATTATACATCTCTTATTAACTATAAATACAGAAATTTATACCATTTACAATTTGGAATTAACATGTATGGCCAGAACACCATCTTCTTCCGTTTTACGAATAGTAATGGTAGCACGACCATCTGAACCAACAACCACCGATTTGCCGGTACAAGACGAACCAGATTTCAAACCCGATATCACATCACAATAAGTACCAGCTGGCAGACAAGTTTGTAGAGACGTATTCAAATCATACGAATCACCATTGAGAGCAATGAAACCCTTATTGCCACGACAGAAAGCAATTTGATTGCTGCCATTATCCCACCAATTCTGAAGACCAGCGGAGCCAACAACATTTTTGAAACCAACCATATTATAGATTTGGCGCCAACGATGTTCACAAATCCAACCGCCACTGCAAGAGTTATCGGCATTGAAAATGGGCGAGCGTATGGTATTGCCATCGGTGGTAGGAGGACCTTGATCGGTGTTGTCAAAAGCAAACGAAGACATAATGCGGGTAATACCAAAGGGATGAGCCAACATAAAAGCAGTAGCCATTTTATATTGTTTAGCATTTTTGTAGGTTAAGACATCAGCACCACCGGCACCATGACCACGTTGATTATCGTGATTGTCTACAAATACCAAAGAACGATCCGAAGGCATAAAGCCCCATTCGGTACCCCAGTTAACTAGCCAACGCATTTGATCTTTGCCACGGAACACTTTGCCAATCGAATCGGAATGTCTGAATTCGGTAACGGTACCCAAGTCGGTGTATTCATATTTGGAAATGGCTTCACCACCCATATCGATAACTTCCTGGGTAATGAAGGGTCGGCTATTGGCAGCAAAACCATGGGCGGTATTTAAATTGTTTAAACGACTATAGATGTTCTATTGGGGAGAGAAAAGAGGAAGGTCGATTAGTATTTCTTTTAATCTGGATCTATTAACATTTGGATCATATTTTCAGGACTAAATTTTTACTAAATTATTGTCGGAGAAATACAATTTTCCGAAATTAGCAGAATGTCAAAAGGAAATACTACTATATAATATAAGACCTTGAGTTTCCCGATGTTCTTTTAGAGAATACAACTTACCTTCAAATCTCCGGGCCACATATGTTTAGCAGCATCAACACGAAAACCAGCAACACCCAGGGAAATCAATTTATTCATAAATTCTACAATGCGGTCTTGAACCCAAGATTTGCTCTGATCTAAATCCTTCAAACCCACCAATTCGCAATTGCGTACTTGATTGGCATCATTGTAGTTGTTAATGCTGCAGGTGGAATGGAAATCCAAAGACGAGAAAGGAACAGCAGGGAAACTCTTACTGCCAGGATCGGCAGTAGAGCCACCAGTGCCCACAACGGTACCATGACTGGCAGCCATATGATTAAAAACAATATCCACATAGATGCGAACACCTACATTATTACAACGTTTAACCATGCTGGCGAATTGGGCCTCATTACCGGAACGTGTTACCAAAAGGTAAGAAACAGGTTGATAACGCTCCCACCAGGGACGATTAGCGACCACAACATTCTCATTGACTGGAGAAACCTTTAAAGAAAGAGAAAAAATATATATATTTTTGTATATATAATTTGGTTAATCTCTCTTAAACTTACTTGCACACCCGCATAACCCTTCGGTCCCAAGAAATTCTCACACTCGCTGGCAATATCATCCCACTTCCATTCGAATAAATGCACTATGGTACTTCTGCCGGAAGCATAATTCGGATTAAATTGACCACTAGTCAATTGACTAGTTATAGCCAAGAGCAATACTATGCTCAAGTTTAATTTTGTTATAAACATGTTGGTATCTCAAATACTAAATGTTTCGGTGGCCAATGTTTTGCCACGGTTTATATACCCTCTGATCAGTTAGTTGCTTTTACTATCAGAGAGATAGTAAATGATTTGTGATGCGTTATTTAGCCTATAAGTGTATTCTTTAAAGAACTGTTATCGCTACTCCATGCGAGTATTTAAACGAAGACCTAAATCGGTATACCGAGAAGTTTTTCTTTTGATTAGATTAGTTTTGAATTTCCAATTGTTTATAAACAATATTTTTGTTTTTTTTTTTTTAATTTAATATTTAAATTTTGCAATATAGTGTTATTTTTGCCTGACTAAAGCGTGTCAAGTTACTCATCACTTTTGTTTGGTTATCTGATAAGATTTTGGAACTGCAGTGATTTATGATTTGAAATTGATATGCTAGTTATTATAGAAATAATTTATGTTCAAATATTATCTAGTTCTTATAAAAAGTATATGAACAAGAACTCAAATACATATCATTGAGTATAAAATATATATATAGCGTTTTAGTTTGTAAATTGATAATAAAAATAGTGTTTCCGAATTAGGTCTTATTAGATGATAACTATGATTAATAATGCAGCCACTTCAAATAAGTCTTACTTTACAATATCAAGGGGGTTACCCAGTTATTCGATTCGTAAAAAAGGGATTTCGTAATAAAATGTCTAAATGATAAAGGAGCGCACAACAGGCCCGATAGTGGCCTAGGTCTATTTCTTCGGATTTAATGTACTATATATACATCCTCCTATTAACCTAACCTAACCATTTCTAAATGATGCGAACAAAGAATAATAATATAGATATTTTTTGAATAGAGATAAAGTGCAATCCTTTGTTTATATTATTCCCCAAAACCCTGTATATAGACACTGAACTTGAATAAATATCAAATACTGAGATAAGTGGCCACTGTGCCGTTATTTAGGGAATATTTAGAGCTATATAAATTTGGAGCCATTATTAGAATCGTTGTTTTGCGTTTTTGGTCAATCCAAGTTGATCTAGTTTCGGATGTGAAACTGACCTCTATTCCTCCTACAAACACCCGCAATTGTTAATGAACGCGAAAGCACTTGAGCTCCTATCATGTGAAGATTCTTTACAATATTTCCAATTGATCCAATAAAGGTTTTAAACTCTCTCTCTCTCTGCATGAGAATGCACGAGTCTGGGTCTCACATTCAACGACTATTGAAGTTGTCATAATGAAGAGAAAGAAGAGATAGGAATAGGGTCGAAAACACTTGAGCTCCAACCATGTGAAGATTCTTTACAATATTTCCAATTGATCCAATTAAGGTTTCAAACTCTGTCTGCATGGAAATGCACGACAGAAGACTGGGTCTCACATTCAATGACTATTGCAGAAGTTGTCATAATGAAAAGGAAGAAGAGATAGGGATAGGGTCGAAAACAATTGAGCTACAACCATGTGAAGATTTTTTACAATATTTCCAATTGATCCAATAAAGGTTTCAAACTCTCTCTGCATGAGAATGCACTACAGGAGTCTGGGTCTCACATTCAACGACTATTGTTGACAGAAGTTTTCATAATGAAGAGTAAGAAGAAGATATAGGGTCTCACTTATTCTGTTAATGTTCCGTATTAATTATTACTTATAAATATTATAATATGGAACGTCATCTTGATTCTTTCTGTCTTTTAGACCTATTAGAACTATATGCGATAAACCTAAGGCATATCCTGAACTTCCACAATGAATTTGGTTGGTGTTATCTTAGCATCAGCGAATAGAAGATTATAAGCAAACCCCTGAATATCACAAAGGGATCATACATAAATAGATCTCAATTTACTAACTTAGTTTTAAATGATTACGATTCTTTAAGATTGGATTAACCCATTTCCCCAAAGTTTTACATTTCAAAAAACTTACTAAACTTAGCAGGAAGATTCATCTAAATCCTTGGATTATATACTTAAATATTTGTCCCTTTAGGAGGTATCATAACGGGGCCAATTTTGGATCCATGTGAGTCCGTTTCGTGCTGACTACCTCTACTATCTAACCCTTTAGGAAGAGTCGTTCTGCATTTAATACAAAGAAAACAATACAATTTTAAGACATTATAACAATCATCGGGAACTTAATCGGTGCATAGTAAGTATGGAAGTTCATAAATCAGAAAATGTTCATAGTTTCTATGTGGATTAAGTACGTATATAGTAAAATTTCATAAGTACTTAATATTTAATAAACAAATTGTTATCAAATAGTCACCATAAATTGTTACAATTGTTTTTCGTTAAGTATTAAAAACAATATTTCCCAAAACTGGGGCGTACGGTCTATCCAGGGGGGGATCAATTACAAAAATATTTTATACGTGTTTTTAGACTATTGATAATACAAGAGAGAACAGCAGATCCAAAATAGAGTTCCCTGTAACCATTAAAAGTCGGGCAGTGACAGAGGAGATGATATATAGTCTCCTCCTCATTATGACAACTTCTGCAGTAGTCATTATACCGGGGATCCATTCAGGAGCAGGGATTTTATAGATTTTGAGAGCGATGACAATATAACAGCGATATGTCGAAGACCTGTATGATCCACAGACCTGTGTCGGACAATTTATATAACTTACTCGATATATGTAAGTTTAGGTGGCTCCCGTGGGTCCGTCTTATTTCGGTCCCGTTGTGATGCCCTATTGGTCATAGGAGTCTTTTCCTATAAAACTACTCACTACTTCCAGAATCAAATCAGCCGGTTCGATTCACGAAATTTAGGATATTCTTTAAATTTATCCCGGATACAAGAGAGAAAACAGCAGATCCAAAATAGAGTTCCCTGTTCCCATTAAATGTCGGACAGTGACAGAGGAGATGATATATAGTCTCCTCCTCATTATGACAACTTCTGCAGTAGTCATTATACCGGAGATCCATTCAAGAGCAGGAATTTTATAGATTTTGAGAGCGATGACAATATAACAGCGATATGTCGAAGACCTTTATGATCCACAGACCTGTGTCTGTACTTCCAGAGTTAAACCAACCGGTTCGATTCACGAAATTAAATTTATCCCGGATACAAGAGAGAGAGAACAGCAGATCCAAAATAGAGTTCCCTGTTTTCATTAAATGTCGGACAGTTACAGAGGAGATGAGATATAGTCTCCTCCTCATTATGACAACTTCTGCAGTAGTCATTATACTGGAGATCCATTCAGGAGCAGGGATTTTATAGATTTTGAGAGATATGCCAACATTACAGAGATATGTCGAAGACCTGTGTCGAACAATTTATATAACTTACTCGATAATTGTTTAACCAAACTTAGACAAAGTAATTGGTTATCATTGAAACTTGCATTACCAAGGATATTGTAAATGTACGATCTAGTTAACTTATTGAACGAAATCTGCAACGATTAGTTAAAGGAAGGTGTCGATATTTATCACGAACGAGTTTGCTATAAACAAATTTACAATATCATCTATAACAATAATAGGAAACAGTCCGATATTCTGAATTTTAATCATATGATTCTATTAATTAGGTTGTATCAACAAATTAGTTCTAAGTGAAAAACTGCGTGTTAATTTTAGCAAAAATGTCACCATGTCTTTCACAAATTTCAATCACAATTTTCTATATCCGATTTTTAACACTTAAAACTGAACACCACTTATTTATGTTATTTTTAAAACTTTTCAAAATTATAAAAAAAACTTTGTAATTGTTTAATTAAATTATTTACTACTAATTGTTTTAAAGATTTGCGTACTATTTTCTTTTGTTTATATGTATTTATAAAAATTTTCTTTTTTTGAAATCTTATAAATAAGACAACATGTCGCGATGTGCCGAAATAAAACTGAAACTGTTGTGATCGCTAAAAGAGAAGAGAAAATACATCTTATAGCGTATGTTAAATACTCGATCAAGCGAGCAGATCTTGATGATGCTGCTGCTCATTTGTGATGAGTTTTTTTTTTTAACAAAGAAATGTGTAAGAACACATTTTTGAGTAAGGTCAAGAATATAATTAAATAAATTCTCATTATTGTTTTTCATATAGTTTACTCTTGCTATTGCTCATTTACGATCGGTCAATTGATCTTTGTATTGAGTACGTATGAGTGTTTTTTTTCCAAGTGGTGGTTAAAGGTGTTGATTGAAGTAAAAGTGTTTTTTTGGTGGGACAGTTCAGAGATAGTACTCGTATGTTTAATAGATTGAATGCGACGAATTCAAGGTCGTCAGAAGAAGATATATATAAAATAGCTTGTTTATTTTTTCACTTAACAACTTAATGGTGTTAATAAATATGACATTAAGTGAATGTAAGGATAATACTTACTATAGAAAATATGAAATTTATTAAATAATTTATATTATACGAGGGTTGCTCTAAATGTTTCATAGAAATTATATAGAGTCGCAGAAAAAGGGAACTCGAAATATACTACAATTTCCCTTACCGTAAGACGAACATCTAGAAAGAAGTCCGCGTTAAATTGGATTGGATTGAATATGGCGCTAACAGAGGATGACATATTTGCCGACATCGAGATAGACTGCATACACAGAGGGAAAAAGAAATATACACGCTTGGTACCAAATTGGCACCAAAGAGTTTGTAATTTTTCAATAACAACCGTTGTCAAAGTATATACATACGTACGACAACACTATGTCGCAACGTTGTCAACATTGCAACAATTCGTTGTCGAAATCTAAATTTTTTACACATACGTTGTCTAAATGTTAACAAACGTGGTAAGTTCACTATTGCAAACAATCCGTTGCCAATAGTGAGCTTACCACGTTT